TTGCTGGTTGCTTTTAAGATCACACACACACCTCCTCTCTGTCTTCCTTTGGGGCCACCTCCTCCAAGAAGCCTCCTCTCTCTCCCAGTTCAACAGGAATTCCCTCGCCTCAGACCTTCTACCTCCGAAGCAGTATCGACCATAACATGCTGTTGCTGCCTGGGAAACCCTGGGAAAGTGCTCCCTTATCCTGGGCCTCAGCTTTCTCATTTGTCAGAAGTGGACAGAACTGGGAATGCTGAGGGCTGAGACCGCTTCCTGGCACGTTTGCGACATCTTCCACCTGAGAGAAGAAAGAGCCTAGAGGCCTGGATTCCACTCCAACCCCCGCCTTTCCCCGTATCAGGCCTGCCATCGACCTGCTGATCCTCTAGGCAAGTCACCCCTCTATGAGGTCTCTTTCCTCAGCCCTAAAAGGAGTTGGAGAAGCTCAGGAATGCTAGACTAATGATGTCAATAATGATAATGAGGCCTGCGCCAGGTTTCTGACCACATTTGAAGGAAGCAGCTTTGCCTCCAAGCCCCAGCTCCTCCCCTGCTCCCCCTAGGCCCCGGTCTCCTCCCTCCTTCTTCACCCCTGCCCCAATCCAGTCCTCCTGTTGGAAAGTATCTCCTAGGACAGTTCCTTTGGTGTGGGAGACGGAGGGGGATTTCCAAATTAAGAGGAAGTCGGTCAGTCAGCTGGAGCGCCAGACCTGCAGCCACGGAGTCTGTCTCCTGAAGGGTGCATTTGACCTGCACGGTCTTAAAGGAATTATGTTTGGTTTTCTAAAATAATTTCAATTAGACAACATCTAAGATAACGAAATTACACATAGACTTTGTGGTGATTTCCTGTGGGGTCCCAGTCACTCAGCTGAGCCCTTGGATGTGTCCACATCCAGCCCCATGTGAGTCCCTGTGGGCCTTTGAAACCAAGATTTCTGCTTGAAGCTAAAGAAACACTGTATTGGAGCATAGGTGAGCACAGTAGAGGAAGGATTTTGGAGTCAGAAACTCCGAGATTCTGCAGACAAAAAATCCTACAAAGACAAAGGTTAGTCTTGCCCAGAAACTGTCACATTGGACTCTTTCTTTCTCCATCATTACAATGGTCGAGCAGACTAGTTTGAGGATACCTGTGGACCTAGCATTTTAGACATTTTAGGGCCATATACTTTACGTATGATGATTTCTTGTTTGGTCCTCGCATGGAAGGTGCACTCCTCAGGCAGGTGGTCTGTGCCCATTATCCTAGAGTCCTTAGGGCCCTGCCCTGCCCTGCATCCTGACTCCCTCTCTTTGGCCCTCTTCCCTTCCTCCTGAACCTGTCCCTGCCTCTGCAATCCATTTCTCCCTCCTCCAGGAGCTCCGTCTCTTGCCTTGGTAACCCCTGCCCCGGCTCTGTATACCACCCCCATGGACCCTACTTCCTTCAGGGGAGGCTTTTCACACAACTCCTCTTTCTTCACACTGGCTGGGTGCCACGTGTGGCAACACTGGGCCTTGTCCCTCCGGGGGTGGAGGTGAGGCCTGCTTTCTGCCACCTGAGCCTCCCACAGCCCCCCAAACTTTATGACCTTGTTCTCCGAGCTGCCCCTGCCGTGTCCCATAGCTCATCGCCTCCTGGTTTATCCCCCAAAAAATTTCTTTCCAGATCCACTGGATCACCCACACCTTCCGGCCTACTCCATTCACTAGCCTCATCCATCAGTTTCCTGAATATGATTAACCACCATCGCTGGCCCTGTGTTAGGCCTATGAGGACTCAAGAGAAAGCAAGAGCTGTCCTGCCCTCTGTGAGCTCACGGCTCTATTGGAATGTAAAATGGTGCACTGGCAGTGGAGAAAAGTCTGGCAGTTTCTCAAACTGCTAAACATAGAGTTAAGAAGAAACAAAGGCATGCATCCACAATAAAATTCTATGCACAAATGTTCATAGCAGCATTATTTATAATAGCCGAAAGTAGAAACAGCCCAAATGTCCTTCAACCCATGAAGGCACAAATAAAATGTGATATAGCCATACAATGTAATATGGTTTTGCAATAAAAAGCAATGAGATACTGATACATGCTACAACACTGACAAACCTTGAAAACATTGTGCTAAGTGACAGAAGCCAGACACAGAACACCATATACTGTGTAATTCCATGTACATGAAATATCTAAGACAAACAAATCTGTAGAGACAGAAATCAGGTTAGTGGATGGGGTGGTGGGAAATGGGGGAGTAACAGTTAAGGGATGGAGGTTTCTTTTTGGAGTGATCAAAGTATTCTAAAATTAGGTTGGGGTGATGGTCGCATAGCTCTATGAATATACTAAAAATATTGAATTGTATGTTTTTAATGGGTGAGGTATACAGTATATGAATTATAGTCCAATAAAGCTGTTTAAAAATAATCTACAGTATTTTTTTAAAAACTGAGTTTGGGTGGGTAAAGTATTGGGTGGGATAGTGTTGAGAACCCTGCCCTCTGTTGGCCAGTTCCAGCATAGCATCAGGGAGGCAAGGAAGCTGGTACTGGCTAACCTGAAACTGACCACAAGAGGGCAGAAGAACACAAAATTTGTTGCACTAACCCTTGTGGATACCTTGCTCATCTTCTGAAGCCTCACGTCCAGCCAGGTACCCAGGAACTGGAGCAGGGGACAAGGAAGAGCCAGGCTGGGGCAGGAATAACTTTATAGAGTTTCCCACAGTAATGATGCCCAAAGTGCCCTTATTAGCAGGCTAAACTGTCTTCTCTGGCTTCCTCATAAGCCCATAGCAGCCTTAGAGAAGAGCACCCCAGACCCCTAAACCAAGAGGTGCTGAGGAGGGTGTAGAATTGGGCATTCGCAACCCAGAAAGTTGTTGGATGCCAACTCTGGCCACTGCTGTGCTTGGTTCTGGGAAAGCATTACCTATATAAAACTTTTAGTCCCTAGCTAGGTGCTTAATAAAACTATTAACTCATTTAGTCAAGAAAAGATGTTTGAACACCTACAACATGCTAGGTACTGTACTAGTCACTGAGGAGGCAGTGATGAGAAAGAGGGGTCCAGGCCCTGCTCACATGGGGCTTCTAATCTAGTGGGGGAGCTGGACAAGAAACAAAACTTCACACACACACACACACACACACACACACACACACACACACACACCCCAAACTTTGTTTGGGACAGTGAAAGAGCACTTGAGAGAGGTGTCTTGTTTATCCTGAGAATGAAGAAAGAAATATAAAGAAGGTGTAGGAGCTTATCTGGGGATCGTGGGGGAAGGAGAGTTTCAGACAGAAAGAACAACCTGTGCAAAAGTCTGGAGGTAGGAAAAGGCTTGGTGCCCTCCAGGAACGGAACGAGGCCAGTTTGTTTGGAAAATTATTCAGCCATAAAGAGAAATGAAGCACCCATACATGCTACAACATGGATGAACCTCAAAAAAATTATGCCAAGTGAAAGAAGTCAGTCACAAAAGGTCACATACTGTATGACTCCGTTTATATGAAATATCCAGGACAGGCAAATCCATAAAGAAAAAAAGCAGATCCGTAGTTGTCAGGGGCTGGGGGAAGGAGACATTATATAAATCATAGAGTGAGTGCCCTGTGGGTCCCCCATGTCCTCGAGTACCTCTTAGCCTTCCTTATTGCTTCTTATCTGACTTGTCATGTCAACACACTCCTGTTACTATCTTTCTTACAGAGGGATGTACAGAACTGAACCCAACTTTCCCAGTGTGGCCTGAGATGAGGGCCAGGGAGTGTCTGTCACTTCCTTCGTTCTTCGCTCAGTGCTCCTATTAATGCTGCCAGCATACTCATCTGGAAGCCACGTCACACTGCTAACTGGTCAGAGCTGACACTAATTCAAGCCCTTAAACTCTTTCTTCTCATATTTTCGGTCAACCCTATCAGCTCTGTCCTGCAGTACTGCGCTGATTTTATGAAGATTTTGGACCTACTATGTTCACCCTGGGCCAGTGAAGAGCAGATTCCCCAGTTCTCGAATGGGTCTGACCCTCACCTGTGTGGTCTTGGACAAACAACTGACATTTTCTGGGATGGCCAAATAACCACCAAGTTCAGAGGGCCTGAGTTAGAGTCCGGCTCAGCCTCTCACTTGCTATGTGACTTTGGGCAAATGACTTCATCTTCCTGAACCTCGATTTCCCCATCTGTAAAACACAATATAATAGTGCTCACCCCACTAGTGTCAGGAGTGAATGAAATACACATATACCCACAGGGAACTGAATTCCAGTTCCATCCCTGGCTCAGTGATTTTGAATAACCTTGAGTAAGCTGAGTCACTGCTCAGAGACAGATGATGAATAAAGAGCATGCATGCATTCAACAAACACTTCTTGGGATCCCACTGTTGTCCAGGCCTGGGTAGGTATTCCAAGAGCAGGACTTGGGATCTGTCTTAAGGTTTCCTGTCTGACGGTGAGTCTGGACACACACATGGACAGGTGGTCACCCTGCCACCACCTGAGGGATCTAGAAAGGCTCAGAAACCAAATCCTGAGGACCCAGCTGCAAACTCTTTGGTTGCCAGTTCTTTCTCAAGGCCATAATCTGCTGCTGAGTCCATAGTAGGTGGACGGGGGTGTCCAGCAAGCCTGGGGAGGAAGGAGACTGCACAGATGCCCTCCACCCTTGGCCATCCCTGCAAGTGGCTCTAGGAACAAAACCCCCTAATACTTATGAGATTATTGTGTCATTTGCTCCTTTTTCTTAAATATGACCACGAGGGGGAATTATGTGTCTGCTGCAAATTGGCATACTTGACCCTCCCCTCCTTCTCCCTTCCCTTTCTCCCTCTTCTTCTCTCCCTCTAATTTGCAGAGCTCCTTATGCATTTTTTTTTTTCCCAAAGCAGCAACCCTATGAATTAGCTTGGGTCAGGCAGGTGAAAAACCACAATATTGATTCATTGTTGGAAATAAGAAGAGAAGGAAAGAAATGCCACCATACTCCTGCTTCTCAGAGAGAATCACTGAGGATGTTTTTGAAGATATCCTTCTAGATCCTTTTGCAGTTCATAAGCATGATGACTGTGTGTTCACACTCCTGTGTGAGATGTGCCTCCCTCAAATCCTGTTACGACATCAGCACATTACCCATCAGATGTAAAAAAATATCCTTCTAGTTTTTTTCTTTGTATGTGTTTTATTTTTGAAATTGATACATATCTTTATGCAATGGGGTCATATTGTATATACTGTTCTATAATATTACCTTTGCAATCCATGTCATTCCCATGTAAAGATAGAGAAACTGAGGCAGAGTGTCCAGTGACTGCCAGGGGGCAGAGTGGGGCACAGATCCTCTGTTCCTGTCCAGGACTCTTAACTTTGAGGACCACGTGGACCGTACTCTGTGGGGGCCTTGGAGCAGTTTCTAGGCCCAGCTGGAGCGGAGCAGGCAGAGGGAAGCCTGGTTGCCCTTTGGATGGCCTCCCACGGCTGCTCTCCAGAGTGTGCAGGACCCAGAGTCCTGTGTCAGCCCTGCAGAGTAGCCAAGATCCAGGTCCCCTGGGAGCACCTCCTAGGCCCACACTCACCCCTTCCTGGACGCATGTCCTCTCAGAGCTGCTAATGGGGGCCTGGACAAAATGCGAAATTAGATTATTTATTTGAGATTTTTCTTGTTTCTTGAGGTAGGACTGTATCGCTATAAATTTCCCCCTTAGGACTGGCTACAAGGCAGTGATAGATTTTGAGTCATTGTGTTTTCATTTTCATTTGTCTCAAGGTATCTTTTGATTTATTCCTTGATCTCATTGTTAATCCATTCATTGTCTAGTAGCATCACACCAAGGCCTTCCTCAGGCCTGCAGACACCCGTGATTTGTTCAAGAATGACTGCAGTTTAGGCAGTGCTGGTTACTCATCACTGGAATTGTTGCCTGAAGTGCTGAGAGCCCAGCCCTACTGATTGTTGCTAAAAGAACCTACTGCTGAGAGAGCCAGCTGGGGCTGGTTACCCAGACACTAATATGCCTTTAGCAATTCGAGAGTTGGCTGGGGTGGGGTAAAGCTAGCAAATTTCACCAGGCCAATGCAGATCAGATTTGGTACCAGTGCCAAGCCTGCAGCCCTGAGCAAAACTCTGCGGCCTTGGGCATGCAGATACCCACCCATGATTTGTTCAAGAGATACTCCAGTTCTCACCTTGAAGCCACACAACTCAATTTTTTCCTGTATGTCTCAAGCACCTCCCAAGCTGCTATCCCTCCGCTGGAGCCCAGGGTGAGTGCCTACAAGGGAATGAATCTGAGCGTGGGCATTTTAAGGGGACAGCTGGATTTCCAGCTTCCTTCCATCTTACCCGGACTGTCGGAATCCCCACTGATTTTCACAGCCAGATTTTGTGGAGACTCCTCTTCCTGGCTACAAGGCTATAGTAATCAAAACAGCATGGTACTGTCATAAAAACAGACACATAGATCAATGGAACAGAATAGAGAGCACAGAAATAAATCCATACCTATTTGGTCATTTAATCTTTGACAAAGGAGGCAAGAATATTCAATGGGGTAAAAACGGTCTCTTCAATAAATGATGTTGGGAAAAATGGACAGATATATGCAAAAAAATGAGAAACTGGACCACCTTCTTACAGCACATGCAGGAATAAACTCAAAATAGATTAAAGACTTAAATGTAAGACTCCAAACCATAAAACTCTTAGAAGAAAATACAGACATTGCTCTTGGTAATATTTTTTCTGATATATTTTCTTGGGCAAGGGAAATGAAAGAAAAAAAATGGGACTATATCAAATTAAAAAGCTTTGCAAGCAAAGGAAACTATCAACGAAATGAAAAGACAACCTACTGAATAGGAGAAGATATTCGTCTATGGTACATCTGATAAGGGGTTAATATCCAAAATTTATAAAGAATTTATAAAACTCGACACCCCCAAAAAATCCAATTTAAAAATGAACAGAAGACCTGAATAGGTATATCTCCAAAGAGGACATACGGATGGCCAATAGACATATGAAAAGATGCTCAGTGTCACTAATCATCAGAGAAATGTAAATTAAAACCATAGTGAGATATCACCTCACACCTGTCAGAATGGCTGTCATCAATAAACCAAAAAACAACAAATGTTGACAAGGATGTGGAGAAGAGGGAACCCTCATGCACTCTTGGTGAGATTGCAAATTAATACAGCCACTACGGAAAATGGTTTGGAAGTTTCTCATAAAATTAAAAATAAAACTACCATATGACCCAGCAATTGCACTTCTGGGTATTTATTCAAAGAAAATCAGAACACTAAATCAAAAAGATATATGCACCCCTATGTTCACTGCAGCGCCATTTACAATAGCCAAGATATGGAAGCAACCTAAGTGCGCATAAATAGATGACTGGATAAAGAAAATGTGGGTACATATATGTAATGGAAATTACTCGGCCATAAAAAATGAAATCTTACCATTTGCAATGACACTGATGGACGTAGAGAGTATTATGCTAAGTGAAATAAGTCAGACAGAAAAAGACAAATACCATATGTGGAATCTAAAAGACAAAATAAATGAACAAACAAAATGAAAACAGACTTATAGATACAGAGAACGAACTGGTGATTGCTAGATGGGAGGGAGCTGCGATGCGGGGCTGGGCGAAAAAGGTGAAGAGATTAAGAAGCACAAATTGATAGTTACAAAATAGTCATGGGGATGTGAAGTACAGCATAGGGAATATAGCCAAAAATATTGTAATAACTATATTAGTGTTAGGTGGGTACTAGACTGATCACTTTGTAAATTATATAAATGTCTAATTGCCATGCTCTATACCTGAAACTAATATAAAATAATATTTAAAAAAAATAAACAAATTTTGCGGCAAAGTTTAAGAAAAGAAAATATGTTCACACACACACACAAAATTTTTTTGCAGGTATCTTGTGTACATTACCAGTTCTTTCTTGGAATAAATTCCTAACAATGGGATTATTGGGTACAAGGCATGCCTCTATGCCCCGCCCGATTTTTATTTTTTGCATCTTCTGAGTCTCTACAGTAAGCAAAAGCAAAAATAAAACTTTTCCACCATTTGCGGCCCCAGCCACCCAGTTCCCCTTTCTGGAGGCAAATAATGTTTACAGTTTCTGGAGAATTCTTTTCCAGAGCAATCATGCTTCCATATAAAGAAATCGGTATTTCTCCCCAGCCAATTTTTCACACAAATGATAGCCTACTATGCACACTATTCTGCCCTCCTAGCACATTTTAAAAGCCAGGATCCTTAAGAAAAAGAAAACAACACACTATAAATCTACAAACGAGCCTCAAAATATTGTCACAAGATTTTTTTTTAAAATCAGACCCCAAAGATGGAAGAAAAGTAAAATAACTAGCATTAGAATTTTAAAGACTCTTTCTTGCCCAAATTGTCTCTGAACACGTGGTTCTCAGCCAGCTGGACAGTAGAGACCAGCGGCTGCTGCAGAGCTGGGGTGCAGAGGCCACCCTTGGTAGGGCCGGCCCTCTGGCTGACTCTGCAGAGGGCGTGGCTTCCTGGTATCCTGTTTGGCTGCAGAGCTACGTGCGGAAGGGAGTGTGGCCCTGCCAAGACCACATCTGTAGCTGTCCCAGTTCTTCCAGGGGAGATGCTGCCCCTCACCTCCCGACCTTGGCCTAGGAATATTTTTATCCATCCCAATCACTAGTTAGCAGGGCAGCCCTGTAATTTGGGAGCTGGCCACCACTGGATTATAATTCCAGCAGACAGTCAGACCTCAGGATGGCCCCTTCGACTTGTATTTTGGTGATGCTTTGTGGCCGGAAGTCTCTTCTGCAAGCTATGGTCAGGACTTTGTGCAGTGGAATCAAAAGTGGGGCGTGCAAGAAGCTGGGGCCTCTGCACTTTCCACACCTGCCTCAACTTCACCATTAAGTTGGTCTTGGCCATCTTGGAAGTACATGTGTGCCTTCTCTTCTCAAAGGAGATGGGCTGGTGCTGAGTGTGGGGCTGGCTTTACAGGCAAGGCTGGAGGAGCCACACCTCAGGGTCACTCTGGTGTGGGGTGGCCTTTGATAAAGTGCATCCCATCCCAGCCTGGTGTACATTCCCTTGTAGGTGTTCTGACTTTCCTCGCCATTGATGACGTGCTTGCATTCTCTCCTGCCTCAAAGAAGACTCCAGGGGCCCTCTGTGTGCCTGTCACGTTACTTCACTAAAACTCGACCTGCATCATGCCATTCCAAAGGCATCCACAAAAGAAACTCAACTCCTCAGGAAGAAGGAACCTGATGTTATTGAGGGCTTAGAGAGGACCCGCCACAGTTAAGGTAGTTTTGTTTGGGGCAGATTTTCGTTTATTTAATGAGTATTTATGCATCAATATGCACAGAAACCTTAACAAAAGGCATTTAAAAAAAAAGATTTCATGATAAAATAAAATCAGAAACTGGATGAACTCACTTGTGCTCCTTCCCCGACACACATCATTGACAATGAGTCTTTGGCTAAGAAATAGGTCATTTTCCCCAGCATCATTTACTCTGGATGGTTAAGGTTTTTGTGGTGTTATCTGATCCTCACAGCTTCCTTGGGAGGTGGGCAAGCTTCATTCCAAGTCATAGATAAGGAAACTGAGGCTCAGATTTGGGCCAGGAGCTTTGCCCAGAGTGTTCCTTCTCCGAGCACATATTTTAAAGTACTTGCCCCACAAGAATCCTTTGCTATTCCTTGCCCTGGATCATATTTCTTCATAGCACTAAGCTCTACCTGATATGCTTACGTGGCATACCATACCACACTCCATTGCATTCCATTATGTTATTTGATTGTTCATAGTCTGTGTCTCTCACTAGACTAAAGGCCCTTGAGAACAAGGAGCTGGTCTGTTTTGATCACAGCTGCGCCTCAGCCTCTAGAACAGAGATGGCCCGTTGGAGGTGCTCAACAAGTTTTGTGGAATAAATTCAGGGGCAAAGCCCAGAGTTAGACCCAGGTCTGGCTAATTCCAAAGTGGGTGCTTTTTCCGTGTCACCATCCTGCCAAAGGCTCAGTGAGGTTACGTGATGGAGAGAGCCAACTGAAGGCTGAGCTCAGGGTTTGAACCCAGGTATTCCAGTCACATACTGTCTTCTTGCCGACC